GCCAGAAGGGTGCTTTACACTACAGTTTTTAAACTGCAACATTAACACCCCTCCTTCAGAGTGCAGGCACTGTACTTCCCATCTCTAGGACTCAAGTCCGGCCTGCCGGTTTCCCTGAACCCCTTCATAAATGTTACTTTGCTCACACTCCAACAGCACGTCAAGTATTAAAAACCATTTGTCTCCATTCACTCCTATCAAACACGCTCACGCATGCCTGCTGGAAGTCCAAGCCCCTCGCACACAAACCTCCTTTACCCCCTCCCTCCAACCTTTCCTAGGCCGACCCCTACCCCGCCTTCCTTCCACTACAGACTGATACACTCTTGAAGTTATTCTGTTTCGCTCCATTCTCTCCACTTGTCCGAACCACCTCAACAACCCTTCCTCAGCCCTCTGGACAACAGTTTTGGTAATCCTGCACCTCCTCCTAACTTCCAAACTACGAATTCTCTGCATTATATTCACACCACACATTGCTCTCAGACATGACATCTCCACTGCCTCCAGCCTTCTCCTTGCTGCAACATTCATCACCCATGCTTCACACCCATATAAGAGCGTTGGTAAAACTATACTCTCATACATTCCCCTCTTTGCCTCCAAGGACAAAGTTCTTTGTCTCCACAGACTCCTAAGTGCACGACTCACCCTTTTCCCCTCATCAATTCTATGATTCACCTCATCTTTCATAGACCCATCCACTGACACGTCCACTCCCAAATATAAATACTATACGAAAATAGACCACAAAGTCGGCATTTTAATTAAAAAAAATGGTCAGTTTTTTTTTTCTCATTATGCACTGCGTGCTGCAGGATTTTTTTTATATGGTGCACACTGACCACACAGACCCATTCTTTCACATGTGGGCATACCAGCTTTCTCCTGCTTGATTTGAAGCCGCTAGAATTTATGAGTATATATACGTCAAAAACAGTGGCTCGTAAGACGTATATATACGACCAGAACAGTCAAAGGGTTAAACTGGGCACTCTGTACACCAGCTGTTATGTGCGACATGAGACCTCTCATTGCCTACTTGTCATTTTGGTACAGTATGCTTCTGTACACTGCCATCACAAATTATTGAATGTAAACAAACACATGTACTAACAGCATACGTACAATTGGTAGTTAACTAAGAGTTATTACTCCTTTTGTATTGTGTTTTTTGTTTTTGTAATGCTGTTTTGACCATTTTGGAACACTTTTGACTCTAAAACTGTCTGATTTAGGGTGAAATGACATGAAGTTGAGGTAATTTTTGACTTAAAACACACTTCAACATTTTTAACGTGGAAAATAGGGTTAAATATGTTTCCATAATACAAGTTTTCATGTTGCGAGCCATCGTGTAAGACACATTAATCTTGTATCTCAGTGGATTGCCATAATGTTATCCAAAGTAACATTGCTATGGCTTTTTAGTGCATGATAGGATGTAATCATTTGAAAGCAGCTACTGCTAGTACTGTAGTGTTGCTCTGGGAATAGTCACCTTGCAGAGTACCTCCCATTTTCCTGTTGATTTATTTAATTTTATTCTAAACTGTAGCACTGTTTCTGAGGGTAATTTTTTTTTTTGTAAAATATTTTGCGCCGTCATACCCCAAATTGCAGTGTCCTATACACAGTTCCAGTGGCGGCTCGTGACTAAAATTAGTGGAGATGCTGCTTCAGAAAATTTTTAGCCATTGTTTTAATATTGTGTGAAATAAAAGAACCGAAAAAACTATGAATTAAACAAAATAGCTGGAAGCATAATAATCATCTAATTCTACACTTGTATCACATTTAAGAATATGGTACATAGTTTTTAAGCACAACACATGTCGCTGAGTCAAAAAGAAACACTACCTTACACTTGCACAACAGGGTTGGCACTGCATCAGTGACAGTGCTCTCTCTACCTAGTGTGCAGCATCTTATCTCTGACATGTTTACATGCTCACAACAACCAAACACTGAGTTACTGGAACTGTGAACCGCACAGTTCCATACAAGGATTTTTGCAATTTTTTCATGTACTAGGAGATGGCAACTGACATTAAGCTTAAGAATTATGTAATGTACAAGTATAAATATATAGTCTGACTTGAGTACTGGAAATGGGAAGTACAATGCCTGCACTTTAAAGGAGGGGTTTGGGATATTGGCAGTTTGGAGGGATATGTTATATATCTTTATATATACTTCTGAACTGTTGTATCTGGGCACCTCTGCTAAGACAGTGATTATGTATGAGTGAGGTGAAAGTGTTGAATGATGATGAAAGTATTTTCTTTTTGGGAATTTTCTTTCTTTTTGGGTCACCTTGCCTTGATGGGAGATGGCCGACTTGTTAAAAAAAAAAAGAAAGAATTATAGAAAAAAAAGACTCATTATGTTGAATGTTATTGATTATATTGAGTGAAAAAAGGGGGTGCTGCAGTTCTGCAGTGCCTTTACACGAGCCGCCACTGCACAGTTCTTAATTTTTCACATATAAAGTAAATACTGTACTGTACTTTGTTATACCTGTCATATGCAGACCATGTGAATAATATTTCAGAATCTCTTGTGTTCTTTGTAACATGGGTTTGTCATATCAAGATAGAGCAATCCCTCTAAATTTGCAGCAACTGCATTGACAAATTTCAGCAGTTTGTGGCATTTTCTTATAAATGACCTTGCAATGAATTTCTAACAATAACAGCTGTTTATAAATAATTTTCATGTGAAATGCATTTTTGTGCTGGCAAAATATTGATACCAGTACTTTGCCAGTATAAAAAAATGCATTTCTTGATATATTTTATATAAACAAACATGAGCATACCATACATTCACATAATGATCATATGAAAAAAAGGAAAAAAAGAATTCATTTGGTTCAGAAAATAATTGAGAAAAAATATTTAATATTTCTTTTAGTCTCCTTGATTACCTCCCAGCAAGGCAGTGTGACCTCAGAAAAAGGAAACATGCACCATGGGTGTACAAGGTATGGTGATACCGACATTCATAATAGAACTTATCGGCCTTATTTGGGTTTGGGTGTAAAAAGAGGGAGTAAAAGATTACAGTGGAGAATAGAGAGTTATTTAAGGATTTAAAAATCTTCAATACAAACACAAAAGGAATAAAAGATTGGCTGTCAATCTTGCTGATACTGCATTTCTTGTAAACCATCCTCTATATAGCACAGTGCTAGAATAAATAAAAACGATCCACATTTCTTGACTTATTTAAAAAAAGTTAACACATATACAAAATGATCATTTGTAGAAAAGGGATGCATTTAGCTTAAAACCAGTCATGAAAAAAATCAGTTTGATAGTATTTGAAGTTCATTTGATTGTGTTTTAGGATTCTGATTCTGCGAGATCTTATGAATGTATCCCCATGAATTTGGAGGGATTACTGCATAAATATTGAAGTTATAATTACAGGTCATCAGTTATCTGGCAGTTGGTTGTTTGACTTTGATCATTATATGGTGGTCTTGTTCAGTCTAGCAAATTATACAAAAAAAAAAATGCACAAAACAAATGAACTACAATGGAACCTTGGTTTTCGTCATTAATTCGTTCCAGAAAGTGACGAAAACCGAATTCGACAAAAACTGAATCAATATTTCCCGTAAGAAATACAGCCTCTCCTCACTTAATGACGGAGTTCCATTACTAAGACCATGTCGTTAAACGAATTTATCACTAAGTGAGGAGCATACTATAATGGTAGTGAGTTTGTGTCAACCATCTTTGATATTGTTGTAATGTCACCTTTGCACCATTTATAACATTTCTGGTATATTTTTAAATATTTATACAGTAGTGTACTGTATATTGAATTATATAGAATAAGGAAATCGGCTCTAATATACATTATTTAGGTATAAATACCGGTCAGAGAGCCCATTGTAAGTCTGAGGCGTTGGTAAACGAATACGTCGCTAAGTGAGGAGAGGCTGTAATGTAAATCCTAATCCGTTCCAGACACCCAAAAGTATTAACAAAAAATACATTTTATAGAGAATATAGTTTTACATAAAGAAAACAATAAGAAATAAATATAAAGAACTAATGAAATGAATAAATGAACATTTAATATCACTTTTACCTGTATTGAAGACTTGTTGGTGTATGGAAGATGCAAGAAGGGGAGAGGGAGGAGAGATAATTGGTTGGAAGGGGAATCCCCCTCCATAAGGACTTCAGGTATCAAGTCCGTATCCGGGGTTACTTCCCTGCTTTGTCTTTTACTCTCACTGGACCCCTGTCACACAAAAAATCTGTCCAGAGAGGTCTGTTTCTGGCATCTCTTTAAGATTTGCCTAAAATGGGACAAGGCATTGTCATTGAACATGTTGCAGACACAGCATGCAACAGCTTTGTTAGGGTGATATATCTCCACAAAACTTTGCAACTCACTCCACTTTGCACACATGCTCTTCCCTGTGGTCGTCCACCAACTCTTCCACATCCTGGCCACTCACATCCAACCCTGTACTTTGCTACAAGTTCTTTTTTGAATTCTGTTGTGTTTCTCGCCTTCTTTATCACAGGGCTGGCACTTGGAACTTTCTTTGGCCCCATGGTGGCTTATTTGGCAGTCGCACTCAATAAACAAACACAAACAAAAATGAATTGTTACGAAATGTTTCGGATGAACGTGCAGGGGAATGCTCACTCGATGGGAAATAAAACCAAACTGACTCAGAATGCGTGGGATGCTTTGTGTGGGCACAGGAAGGAAGACATGTTCGGTACGGCAGACAGATGAAAACCGAGGTGATAAATGAAAACTGGGACAAAATTTTTACGAAAAAGGTTGTCAAAAATCAAATTCAACGAAAACTAGGGAAAACGAAAACCAAGGTTCCACTGTATAAAAAAATTATTTGATCTTCAAATGTTGAAAATCTTTACCTACCTAGAAGGGGCTGGATAATCAATGGTCTACTTCTTAACACATTTTGTACTCAAATTCTATCTGTAATATTTTTCCCTTTTCAGAAGCCAAGAGAGCTCAAGAAAGAGCAGATAAACAGGAAATTACGCTTTCACAAACTCTTCCAGAGCCAGAAGTAATGTGCTTGGAGACCAACAAGGAATTGAGAAGAATGGCTTCTGCATTAGATATAGCTAGCAATGAAGGAACATTCATAAGTGAACAAGATAAATTGGATAAAAATGGTGCAGAAAGCAATGTAGATAATAATGATGAGCAGAAAGAGAAGTGCTCAAAGGCTATGTCTTCTGAATTAAGTTATAATGAAAAGAGTGACAGTGGAGGTGGAAAAGTTGTAATAGGTGTGTGTGAACTCGCTGAAGAAATGCTAAATGGAAAATGTGAGCCAGAAACACAGGATGAAGTGAAGGAAAATGCTGAAATGATAGTGACAACAGACATGACTCAGACAGACAAACAGAAACTAGACTCAGATCTGACTACTATGAAAGACACTACAAAAGTGACAGAATCTTCAGCAACAGCACAAATTATAGACACTGCTGAGGTAGAAAAAGCTGTGCAAGATCATGAAAAAACAGAGACTAATGAACCAGTTGTTCCAGTAGGGAATATTATTGACAGTCATAGTGATCCAGAGACATCTAAAAAGTTATCTAGTCTTGCAGAAGAGTTAAAAGCACTGCAAAACCCTATTCATAAGAAAAAATTTAGAGAGTAAGTATTTTGAAAATCATTTATTTTTTATTAACCCTTAACCGGTCCAAAGAGATTGACGTTCAAATTCGTATTGCTACAAAAGTAGATCTACTTTTTTTTACATATTTTCAAATATAGCAAAAAAAATGTAGATAAAAGTTTTTTACATGTTTTCAAATGTAAAACAAAAAAGAAGATCTACATTTTTTTACATAATTTCAGATGTTGAAAAAACGTATATATGCGTTTGGACCGTTTAAGGGTTAATAACAGTTGAGTCAGGTAATCCTGACTGGAAGTACATTAAACCTTTGATTTAATGGACTAATAGGAAGGCCGGGGGAAGAGGTTGGTAGCTGATAATTACAGTTGTGGTAAATAAAGAGGAGATTGTTATGACCCATTTGTAACAGTAAAGGACAATTCAGAGAAAAACAAACTTTGTCTGTTGTTTTTGAATTGGAAGAACTGATTACTTTTTGTTTTCCATGTGCTGTATGTTCCTTAAGGTTTCAGTGCTTGCGATGAATGCAATAATAATAATAAAATATTGTAATTTTTATTTCTAGGTACTGTGATCATGTTATCACTGAAGATGTAGATCGGGTTACTCAGCAGTTGGTGGAAAGTTTAGTGAAGTTCCAGGAGCGTCATTATAAACGAGATCCAACTAAAGCTCGTATTAGGTAAGTTAACCTTTATTGTTAGAAAGTTTATTTAGGTACAGGTACACATAAGTACAATTATCATACATACTGAGGGCAATATGTGGTGTGAATATTATGCAAAGAATCTGTAGCTTGGAGATTAGAAGGAGATGCAGGATTTCTAAAGGTATTATCTAGAGGGCTGAGGAGGGATTGTTAAGTTGGTTCAGACATGTAGATAGGCTGGAACGAAATAAATTAACTTGCAGTTAGTTAGCTGGACTTGAGTCCTGGGAGGTACAGTGCCTGTGCTCTGAAGAGGAGTGGAGATATGTTGCAGCTTTTGAATTATAGTGTATGCATGTTTCTGGCAAGTCAGTGATGTAATAAGTGATGATAAAAGTGTTTCTTCTTTTTTGGGTCACTGCCTCGGTGGGAAATGCCCAGCGTATAAATTAAAAAATTAGTCTAACGTGTGTAAATTACCCTGGATAACCCCAAAAAGCTATCCAAAATGACTTATTTGTACTAATTTATAATGGCTGGTTTGTTACTCATTAAGGAGCTTAATGAACACTTCCTTTGTGGTTTATAATGATCTGTTGAAAATTCATAATCATTCAGAACCCTTATTGCAGTCATTCCACACATTTAATTTTCAAGTATTTGTCTAATTTTATTCTAATATCTTTCTTTTTCTTTAATTAAACAAATTTCAGACGAAGATTTGTATGTGGTCTTAAGGAAACAACCAAACTGATGGGGAAAATGTCATGTATCATCGTAGCGCCTGACATTCAAAGAAGCAAAGGACCAGGTAAATTAGTATCTTTAATTCTTGTGCTCACCCAAAACTCTTGGAAGATGTGCACCCACATTTAAAGGTTGTGTTTTCACCACCAAACAATTGAGGACTTGTTAAGACAAATAAGTGCATCTACAGGAGAGTCCTGCTTATACAGCAGGTAAGGTTCTGGGCTACTGGTGTAAAGCGAAAATCAATGTAACGGTCTTTTTCACTTTCAAATGCACATAGAAACCTGATAACATGTTTACACTATCATGTATTAAGAGAGCAGTAGAACTAGGTCTAAAAAATGTACATAGATTGCACAAATTATTCACCCTAAAATATTTTCATCCTTAGCTTATAGTGAGTGGCGAATATATTTATTGTAGGAAGTCTGAATAAGTGAAGAATGGGTATAATTGAAAACTGCTGCATTAACAAAATGCTGTAAAGTGAAGTGCTGTAAAGTGGGGCCCGTCTGTACAGATGAAAAAGTGATGTGGGAACTCATTGGAGCGATGGACACTTGACTCAGTGCTTGGAGTGCCCCAATGGGGATTAAATACAGGCTGGGGAGAATTGTAGTCTGGTGTGTGATGAATAACCTCACAGACTTTTCCTCTGTTGAGAGTCAGGTCTAGTAAATTGTTAAACTGGCAAGGAGATATCCAGGTGAGGGCTTTGAAGATATGCTAGATGTAAGTGAGCTCTTAGAACAGTGGTTCTTAACCTGTTTTGGGTTGTGCCTTATATTGCAGTTTGTCTCATCTCCACACCCCTTCCTTCCTTCATATAAAATTCTAAATTTAAAATATTCCTCTTTATTTAAACAAGAAATTGAAAAACTAGTTTTCACTCTTAACCTCATTATTTTAAACAATTCAAAAAGAGCCTGCTTAAGGAGCAAATCACAACTACACAACATATGAAGTGAGAACACATTTGGTGATATATTTGACACTGCTTCTAAGCTACTAGATCCCAAATAAGTGGGCACCTGCAGTGCACAAGACTTTCCTCCTCGTTCACAAAAAATCCAAATAAGGACATGTAAGTACATGTTAAGGTCACTTCTTATTTTTGCACCTCCTAACCCCAGAAATTATTTGTAAAAATAAGGATTTTTATTACTATTGTCTTAGAAGATAAGGGAGAAAGAAGTCCAGAGGAAATGTTGGCAGAGATCAATGCCCATATACTAGGGAGGCAGACAAGAGATGAAAATAAGGAAGAGACTGAAAAAAAACAAAAATTAACACTGCCACAGTTATGTGAGTAGTTCCATGTTGCTGCTAATCTAGCATACTTTTTTGCTTAACAAGATCCTGACGCATCCAGAAACACTACTCTGAAGTGGGGGTCTGGAGCAACTGATGATGCCTTACCATCAACAGTATAAAATACTGCTCAGTAAATAGACCAAAGATGCAATACAGAATACCTCAGTACAACTATCACCAAATGACAACACTGCATCGGCATCAGTGTACGAACCTCATCCATCCACCTCAGCCAATAATCTGTAACCTTCCACCTCAGCCCTGTAGGGCCAGACCATCCCTCTCCACTTGTTTCAAAATAATTGACATACACCAGTAACCAGAATTTAAGGTAAGAAATAATATTTTTGTAGGCTTTGTAGCTGTAAATGGTATTTTATTAAATATAATACATCACTACATCAAACTACCATTACATTATTATCACTTTTTTTACAGTTATAAGGCCTAAAGAAAAAATTACCCTTTTTGGGGTGTTGAGGAATATAACCCTGTTTTTCCTATATGTTCTTCAGCTCGTCTTACACAATTGTTTTTTACATTCTATTATCAGGAACATAACTACCGTGCTAATCTATGGTCACCTGTATCTTCACAACCTTTACCCATTTTGGTGTCAAACAAGTAACAATGAAATGAATTCCATAAGATGGCGTTCATATTTAGTAAACTTTTTGCATATCTGCAACAAGGCTTGACATGTCAGATGGCACCATAATGACATATTTTCCAGAAGAAATGCTGAATTCAATCCTGTTGCATGTATTTAGTAATATTTTGAAAGTAATCCTAATGTAGTCTACAGAGGAAGCAAAGAATTTTAGATATACATGTAGCTACTAATTAATCTAAGCAATGTGTAGTATACTTTATGTGCAGTCTCTGTATCGACTAATCTGTAACTGTAGGTTAGAATATTGTTCTGGATACATTTTATAAGATATTCCTGTGGTTTGAAAAACATACCTTAATAATTTACTCATGGATTGTTACATACCAGGTGCCTTGGATGAGGTTGTTGAGAAGATGCTTGGCCAAGCTCATAGTCATGGTGTCCCTGTCATATTTGCTCTTTCCTGTAAACGCCTAGGTAGACTTTGTCTGAAGAAGGTCCCTGTGAGCTGTTTTGGCATAATCAGCTATCATGGTGCTCAGGTAAATTTTAATGGAAGTTTTTCCCATTTTAAAATGTAGTGCTGTGTCTTATAATTTTATGAGTTAGGGATATTGCCTGATTTTTTACATTGTATTTGTGTGCATGAGGAGTGTGCTTTTGTTACTGGTACTTGTACTAATCTTGTATATTTCTAAATATTTCTCGGAGTACTTTGTTACAATCACCAGACCTTACAAAAACACTTCAGATAAATGTGGCAGTTATTTATTCTTATATAATTAGCTGATTTTTATAACTAGCACAAGCTTGTTAAAGGTGTAAATTACTATCAAATGAGGGAGGTATATTTGTATTAGATTGATATTTTGTAATGTGTACCAGTATGTAGTTTGGATTATTTCTCAGTGAAGGAGTTTACACAAAGAAGTAATTGAGCGGCATATTTATCAGTGTAATTAAAAAAAAGTTTTCAACATTGACATTTCTATTCATCTTTTCTTCTTTCTGTATTTAAGGACAAATTCCAAATGTTGATGCAGTTGGTGCCAGAAGCCAGGAAAAAGTATCAAGAATTGATTGCATGTGGCAGTCGGTCGGTCCCGGTGGATGACGAGGAGCTGAACAGTGAGACTGAACCAGCAAAATTAGATGTTACACAAGAAGTAATTGCTAAAACTTCTGCAATTATTTCTTCTATTATTGAAGAATGACAGTGCACTGTTTTATTGTGTATATTTTCTTAAAACACATTTCATATCTTTAATATTTCACTACTTGTTTTGACGCTTCCCGAGTCTTAATGGAGGCTTGGGGTAATATATTTGTTTCCTGTTCATAACAAACCAGCATTAAGAATTCTTTTGTAATTTAGGCCTGCTGGTGAATTTTCATTGTTTTGCAGATTGGATGGTAGTAGTAGTATTAGTAGTAGTAGTCAGGATTTAGAATATTTAACGATAATTAAATGCAATAATTGCGAACAGGTGATAAAAGATGCAAAATAACCACCAGGGAGTTGAGTGATAGGCCTTTCATGTTGCAGTCAACACATCAGGAGTTTGCAAAGTTGCAGAAACAGGAAATTCAGGCAGATTGATTCAGGGAAATTACTTTATCCAGAATTTACCTGGATTTTCTAGTCTGTTTCTGCAACATTGCAAACTCCTGATGATGTACTGATGATAATTATATCTACACCAAACTTGCTGTGAATGTAACAAAAATATTTTGCCAGTTGAAAAGTAAAGCTAACTTTTAATGTCATTTATTGTATTATAGATTTATTTCATTTTGCTGTGTTGTATTTCATTGAAATTTAGGACTAATTGTTTACATGGGCTGTTTAATACAAAATTTAAATAAGTACCTATATATTTGTCTAATAATTTAAGTATTTGAAAAAATCTTTTAGTTTGTTTTGCCCTGCACTTCACTGCTGCATTATCCATTGAGCACAAAAGGCACAACGCCTACGGTAGATCACATTATCAAAGGCCTATTGAAAAGTTTAGGGCACGCCAAAAATTCATAGGTAACTAAAACGTAAACTGGTAAATCTAACATAGTAATCTGCTTTGATTAAACTAAAAATCTACCTTTTGTCAGAGTACCAGCCTATCTTTGTGGATTTCCTACATAGTGTTTGCATCAAATTGTTTTTATTTTTCTTGTTTAGGTTAAGTTTAGTTAGGTTAGATTATCCTCTATCAGTAATATTAATTAATTGTGACATTTGACAATGCCATCCAGTAAAATAGAAGATAAAGGCACACTAGAAAAACATATGTCAGACAATCACTGTTAAGGCTTGTTAAAACAGTCACCCATTTGACTGTCTTAGCTTTGGGCAAATACTGTGTGTTAATGGTCTGCAGAGTACATGTATAAATGTACCAGTGATAAAGTAAATAAAAATGCTAGAATAATTAGCAAAGGTAAGTGACTTGTTTCCACCCATACTATGGATGCTATGGTATGGAAAATAATGTTTCAGATTAAAACATAATTTTGTTAGAGAAAAAATTATTCTAAACAAAAATTCCTTACCCAGATTGATTTCCCTTGATATTTGGAGACCTGAGATGCTATAACAATGTGAATTTAAAGTGTTGTGAATATTGGGCTTTATACTCTCTGCTGATGAAGAGCGAGTGCTTAGGGGATGCAGATACCTAACTCTAGCTCTGCCATGCATATACCTGCATCATGGACATTTTTCTTTTCATTTAAAATGCTACCTATATATGAAAAGAAAACAGAGGTAATTATATCTGTTACGTCATCCAGCAAGAGCAGTGAAAATGTTGCTCTGCCTTGAGAGACTAAGATGGATGTTGCTCGTCACGGAAATGTAATGATGCCACTATCATTGTCATAAAACATTTAGTGTATTTGTTTATCTTACTGTTATGGAATAGAATGGGTTTTAAATACTGCATATTTGCAGTGGCATTTTACATTGAGTTTCTTTGAAGTAGCACATGAAATGCTACTTTATACATTTAAGAATATTTTATAATTTTTTGTTAAACAGAGGCTGAGTGATGGAACTTTCTGTTTGGAGAAGCCACTTCATATAAGTTGTATAGTATAAATTAAAATGGTGATATACTGAATAATTCAGTAATTTAGCTACATTTAGTACTTGGGGAAAGGAGTAGGAAGAATATTATAAGAAATTTTGTATGCTTGTAAGGGGTAACTGAGATAAAAGTGAATGTGTGTTAAACCATGTTAAGCCTCAGCAAATACTTACAACACTAAATATACATGTTTTTATTAATGTTATCAATGAGGTTCAGTTTGCACTGCAAAGTTTGCATGCTGTAGCACAGTATTTTTAACATAATTACGAAGTGTACACGAGGTTATAATTATGCCACTAATGTACATTTTCCAAGAACTTAAGATTTAACTGGGGAGTAATGTAACTTATTTATCCAAGCAAATTATGCAAGATTATATAAACAAAATTAAGAGTTATTTTTTAACACAGTGGCTGTCTCCCACCAATGTAGGGTGGCCCAAGAAAAGAGGAAAGACATTCACCAACGTTCATTCCGTTGCTATCATCACCATTCAGATGTTGCAGTTTTGGGAAAGGAGGAATTATTTGAGGCGTGATGTCAGTACATAAAATTTGATCAAAACTGAATGATGGATGAAGAATGTGTTCCTTCTTTTTTTGGGAGTCTCCTACCTTGGTGGGAGGTGGCTGGTTCGATGGAAAATTTTTTAATTTGTAATTTTAATTATATAATTTGCATAATTTGCTATCCCTGGTAATTTAAACATTTGAAAAATATAATTTATGCATCTACTTCTTTCATATAGAAGTATTATTCTAACAGTAACATTATAATGAAATTTTTTTTTGTCAATCACTAACTTGTAGTTTACAGTATTTACTGTATTTATGTTAGTATATCTTGAAATGTTTCCTAAATTACTTATAAATACCTCATTTAAGGTTGCTCAAGACCAATTTAGACTTAAGTATTATGTGAAATTATTTTGAGAGATAAGTTACCATTCTGAATTTTCTTGAGGCTGAAATACATTATGCAGTGCTGAAATGAATTAGTAAATATTTATTATGATCATCACTGGTAATTGCCGACACCCATAAAAGTTGTGCAGTATAGAAAAATATTCAAATTGAGTATGTACTTCAGCTCTGGCAAACTTTTGCATAACTTGATTTCTTATTTAAAATGATTGCTCAGACATCTTGTCACTCTTCCTGTAACCATTTATGTCTTCACAGTTATTTCTTGTATGAATGGTAAATGAAAGGTGGAAGTGTGCTCATCAAATGTTAAATATTTTTTTTTGTATTTTTGGAATACTGTATATGCCCATCATTTTTAAACATCTATACCTATCTATCAGTGTTTTTGTTACATTTATTGAGAACACAGTGGCTCAGCAGAAATGGGAAATCTTTTAGTAAATCACAGTTATGGAAGCATTTTCCAAAATGTTAGGCATGTTGTGGTTTCTACATTATCTTTCAACAAATTGGCCATATCCCACCAAGGCAGGGTGGCCCAAAAGGAAAAATGAAAGTTTTTTTTTTTAAAACAAGTCGGCTGTCTCCCACCAAGGCAGGGTGACCCCAAAAAGAAAGAAAATCCCTAAGAAAGGGTTACTAGCCCCCCCCTTGACCCTAGCTTTTTTTGTTGCCTCTTACGACATGCATGGTCGGGGAGGAAAATTTGTTCCACTTTCCCCAGGAGAAGGAAAAAAAAAAAATAAAAGGGAAAATAAAAAAACCCCCAGAGGGCATGGGGTATATAATGTATATACTTGTTAGCATGTCAGTGGCCCTAATGTAATAAAAGCAGCAGACATCTTAAAATCTAGCATGTTTATGAACAAAAAAAAGACACCAGCAATCCTACCTCATTAAAAAAATTTACAGGTTTCCTTTCACATATTTGGGCAGGACAGTAGCCCCCTCCGGGGTGGTTCTGTCTACCAACCTACTGCCTGGGTTTCTACTTTTTTTTTTTTCTCAAGTCGGCCATTTCCACTGAGGCGGGTGCCCCAAAAAGAAAGAAAAAACCCCCAAAAAAAAAAATTTTTCATCATCTTTAAACACTTTCACCTCACTCATACAAATCACTGTTGTTGCAGAGGCACCCAGAATAAAACAGTTTAAAGCATTTTTTTTTTTTTTTTTTAAAAGACGGCCTCTCCCAAAAAGGCAGGGTGCCCAAAAAAGAAAGAAAACCCCCAAAAAAAAAATACTTTCATCTTTTAACATTTTCACCTCACCACACATAATACTGTTTTTGCAAGGTGCTCGAATAAACAGTATAGAAGCATAATGTATTACGATCCCAAAAACATACCCCCTCCAAACTCCCAATACCCCAAACCCTCCTTTAAAGTTTGGGGCTTGATTTCCCATTTCCAGGACTAAAAGTCCACTATATAAAAATAACCGTTTTCCCGAACCCTTCACAAATATTCCCCTGCCCCATTTAAACAGCTCGCAGGTCCCAAAAACGACGTCCCCTTCACTTCATCTAACATCCACCCGCTTGCTGGAAATCCAAGCCCCTTTCCCACCAAACCACCCGTACCCCCTCCCTCCAACCTTTTTTGAGGGCGCCCCACCCGTCTTTCCTTCCCCTACAGATTATAGCTCTCCATGTCTTTAAACTCTGTCCCTTCTCTGTAAATGACCAACCACCTCAACAATCCCCCCTTCATCCCCCCTTACAAACTTTTTTAACTCCACACCTTTTCCCAAAAATTTCCCCACCCGAAATTTTCTGCTAATATTCCACCACAAATTGCCCTTAGACAGGACTCTCCACTGCCTCCAACCGTCTCCTCGCTGGAGGGTTTGCTTCAATAAATTTTGGTTTTTGGTCAGTATGTTAAAGATTTTAGGTTCAGTCGAAACTCTCAATGATGATTGTTTTGCACTACTTATTAAGATGTTTTCCCCTACACTTTCATGTTGGGGGGTTTAGGTCCCATTTATCTGGGGTCATACTGAAAAGGTGTTCTGTGGGAGTGCAGTCATGGCTACAGGACTTATGAGTGCTGCTTCCTGTGTTTTTTATGGAATTTTTTTTTTCTGCTTCTCTTGAAGTTGAGCCTATCTGGAGCTGCAGCTGATTAGTGGCCAAACCTTTTTTTTGATGTACAGATAGAGGTATAAAAGAAGGTTTATTCTGTCCCCCCGGTGTAAGGAAAAATGCTCATGTTTACCCTTGCCCGGGGTTGAACCTGGGCCTCATTATGTAGCGAGTGCGCTCTTTTCTGTTCTTTCACTGCTTATAGTCTATGTACACATAATTTAGTTCACTAAGGGGTTTTGAAGTGAAGAAGCTGAAGAAAATTTCCCAAAAAAAAGTTTTATGAGCTGGTGTTTACATCTGCCCATACTTATCTTTTTTCCCCGCATGTTGGTTGCTTTTCGTCAGCTTCACACTCACAAACCTCTACTGGCAGTAGCTTTTTTCTCTTGGCTGGAAATTTTTGTTAGGTGTGTTAACAGGTTACAGATGATATGTATGGCGCAATTGGTGGTGCTGTGGTACATTTGTAAAACCTGGGATTTAGGGGTGATTTGGCTGTAATGGTTAACTCGAATTTCTCGTAGGGTTGGGTTTTTGCCGGTCGTTTTTCCCGTTTATTTTCAGTTTATGATTTTAGCATGGGAATATTGACAAGGTGGAAAAGCAGTTTTTGTACCACTTGACATGTCCACTCACACAGTTCATAAAAACCCAAATTTGCATGCCACATTTTTCCCCCAAAGCATGTAATGTAATCAATCACAGCAATTTGGGTTTTACAATGGGTTAACTCTCTCCCTCTCTCTGTCTTGGCGGTATGTTCATTCATTCGGGGGAATGGTGGGGCAAAATATTTACACCCCCCCATCATGCACCCGAAAAGTTGTCAGCAAAAGCTTTTCACCTATTTTTCCTAGGTAAACACATAGAATTTGGGCATATCTTTCCTTGATTTTTGAACTGAACACAAAACCCCAAACATTTTCTTGCAGGTAAAAAAAGAGTAAAGGCTTGTGGGCCAGTTATCAATGAAAGTTACATGTATTTCTTTACCAAAGTACGCTCCATCGTTTCTTGATTACTTCACCAAGTCCCGAAAATTTTTGGTTATTTTTTTTACTATTGTCCGCCCTATGAAGAAAATCGGATCACTGACAATGCCCCACTCGCAATCACTCATGATGAACAATTTGAAAACAGAGTGATTTTAGTTGCTTAATATGTACTGTTTGAAAGATAGTTATCCTTTGAACAGTATCAAAGACTTGTTAATCACAAAATTTCTGAAAGGGCGAAAAAAACTCACAGAACTTGTTTTTCAAATACAGCCTCTCCTCTCTTAAAGATGGAGTTCCGTTCCTGAGACCACGCCATATGTTGAGCATACTATAATGGTAGTGGGTTTGTGTCAACCATCTTTGATATTGTTTTAATGTCACCTTTGCACCATTTATAACATTTCTGGTATATTTTTAAATGTTTGTACAATATTTTTTTTTTATTATCACACCGGCCGATTCCCACCAAGGCAGGGTGGCCCGAAAAAGAAAAACTTTCACCATCATTCACTCCATCACTGTCTTGCCAGAAGGGTGCTTTACACTACAGTTTTTAAACTGCAACATTAACACCCCTCCTTCAGAGTGCAGGCACTGTACTTCCCATCTCCAGGACTCAAGTCCGGCCTGCCGGTTTCCCTGAATCCCTTCATAAATGTTACTTTGCTCACACTCCAACAGCACGTCAAGTATTAAAAACCATTTGTCTCCATTCACTCCTATCAAACACGCTCACGCATGCCTGCTGGAAGTCCAAGCCCCTCGCACACAAAAACCTCCTTTACCCCCTCCCTCCAACCCTTCCTAGGCCGACCCCTACCCCCCGCCTTCCTTCCACTACAGACTGATATACTCTTGAAGTCATTCTGTTTCGCTCCATTTCTCTCTACATGTCCGAACCACCTCAACAACCCTTCCTCAGCCCTCTGGACAACAGTTTTGGTAATCCCGCACCTCCTCCTAACTTCCAAACTACGAATTCTCTGCATTATATTCACACCACACATTGCTCTCAACATGACATCTCCACTGCCTCCAGCCTTCTCCTCGCTGCAACATTCATCACCCACGCTTCACACCCATATAAGAGCGTTGGTAAAACTATACTCTCATAACATTCCCCTCTTTGCCTCCAAGGACAAAGTTCTTTGTCTCCACAGACTCCTAAGTGCACCACTCACTCTTTTCCCTCATCAATTCTATGATTCACCTCATCTTTCATAGACCCATCCGCTGACACGTCCACTCCCAAATATCTGAATACGTTCACCTCCTCCATACTCTCTCCCTCCAATCTGATATTCAATCTTTCATCACCTAATCTTTTTGTTATCCTCATAACCTTACTCTTCCTGTATTCACCTTTAATTTTCTTCTTTTGCACACCCTAACCAAATTCATCCACCAATCTCTGCAACTTCTCTTCAGAATCTCCCAAGAGCACAGTGTCATCAGCAAAGAGCAGCTGTGACAACTCCCACTTTGTGTGTGATTCTTTATCTTTTAACTCCACGCCTCTTGCCAAGACCCTCGCATTTACTTCTCTTACAACCCCATCTATAAATATATTAAACAACCACGGTGACATCACACATCCTTGTCTAAGGCCTACTTTTACTGGGAAAAAATTTCCCTCTTTCCTACATACTCTAACTTGAGCCTCACTATCCTCGTAAAAACTCTTCACTGCTTTCAGTAACCTACCTCCTACACCATACACTTGCAACATCTGCCACATTGCCCCCCTATCCACCCTGTCATACGCCTTTTCCAAATCCATAAATGCCACAAAGACCTCTTTAGCCTTATCTAAATACTGTTCACTTATATGTACAATAGTGTACTGTATATTGAAATAAACAGAATAGAGGAAATCAGCTCTAATATACATTATTTAGATATAAATACTGGTCAGAGAGCCCATCGTAAGTCGAAGGCGTTGGTAAACGAGTACATCGCTGAGTGAGGAGAGGCTATACATGAAAATTTTGCTGATTTTGAACAGAATTTGCCCTGTAAGAGAATTGCAATATACACAACAGCAACAGGAATCTGTTTTGAGAAATAAGGTCAACAAATGCTGGAGTATGTATGAGTTGTTGTGTAATGTTTAGCAATATTATTCTTATTTTTAGTGAAGGGATTCAGGGAAACCGGTTATTTTATATAGCTGGACTTGAGTCCTGGAAATGGGAAGTACAATGCCTGCACTTTAAAGGAGGGGTTTAGGATATTGGCAGTTTGGAGGGATATGTTGTGTATCTTTATGCATATATACTTCTAAACTCTT